CAGCCAGCTACGTAAATATGTTTTTGTTTTAATTCCAGGTGTGGGATTTTACTTTCAGTTTTAGCTTGTGGACAGCCGCTAACTGTCTCCTGCGGGGCATGGTCATTGTAATGGCCTGCCTTGTGCGGCACAGAGAGGGGGGTGGTCTAAGACTGTGAGGGGGATAAATATGAGAACCCAGAGTGAGCAGGTGTGCTATATGGTCGTGATGTGTGTCAACTAGCAGTTTGGAGAGATTAGAGACTGGTGGTGTGGCAGCGTGGAGACAGACAGAGAGAAACAAATGTTTCAATACAATGGCTTAGAGGTGACTGCTGGCTGCATCTACTACTGATGGAGATTAATGTAATCCCAAAAGAACCTAGCAACCCTAAACAGCCAGGAGAAGTAAAGGGGTCTGTGCCCCTTCTCCCTACTAACCTTCTCTCTCCTACCTAGAGTTGGTGGTTGGAAGGGAGGGGCTTTAAGGAACCCCAAATAAAATACTTTTAAAATGAGTGTTACACTTTTTTTTTGAGGCAGAGTTTCCCTGTGTAGTCTTGACCGTCCTGGACTCACTTTGTAGACCAGGCTTGCCTCAAACACAGGGAGATCTGCCTGCTTCTACCTCCTGAGTGCTGGGATTATAGGTTTACACCACTGCACCCAGCTTCATAAAAATTTGAAAGTATTTAATCTTTGGTTTTTTAAAATATTTATTCTGCCTGTTTAGTGTAGCTATTTCCTCTTAATAGAAACAGTCCTCCCCAAGAAGACTAACATAACTTACAAAGCTCAGGAAGTTTACAAAACCTAGAAGGCTCAGGAAGCTCTTGAAACAAGATTCACATGGGCCTGCCCCAAGATTATGTAAGCAATAAGCATTTTTTTTTCTTTTTTTCCCCCCAAAGACAGCCAGGGCTTCTCTGTGCGTAGCCTTGGCTGTCCTGGAACTTCCTCTGTAGACCAAGCTGACTTTGAACTCAGAGAGCCATCTGCCTCTGCTTCACAAGTGGTTCAATTAAAGGCATGTGACACCACTGCCCAGCCAAAGATTTATTTTTTTTATTTTTATTTTATGTATATGTGTGTGGGCCTGAGTGTATGTATGTGTACCACATGCATGCAGGTGTTCTTGGAAGCCAGAAGAGTACATTGATTCCCCTGGAACTGAAGTTACAGGTGGTTGTGAGCTGCCTGATATGGGTACTTAACCCAAGTCCTCTGCAAGAGTTACTCACTGACATCTCTCTAGCCTCAGTAGCAAACATGTTCTGAGGAGAGACTCTCCAGTAGGCCAAGCGACCTGCAAGTTGTTTAGGGACTCCAGAGACAGTGATTTCATGAGTTGTTTACCCATGCTAAGATGGGCTTTTTGGTGATGAAGCTGCCTTTGAGTCATTATGCTCTTGTAAGTAACTCCTCACCAATACCCCTGTAAATAAGTCCAATAAACTGATTGGTTCACTAAGCTAGAGTTGGGTAGAATTGTTTCTTTGATTTCCTGTTTGGTGGTGAATACATGTTTATTCCTATCTTCCCCAGGAAAAGTCATCAAAAGTTTGTTTTTCTTTCTCATTCTTTATATCTCCAATTTCACACTTTGGATGATTAATGCTGTCATCTTATGTTATGCTTTTTATTTATTCCACTGTTCCTGTTTCTTCATTTCTCTCTTGACTTCTGCATTAACAGAGACTTTTCTTTCACCATTCATGTTTTCCTCTTACAGTCTGGAATTAGTGTACTCTGTATTCTTTCTAGAAGTTGCCCTAAAAAACTAGTGTGTGGTTCATTGCAGAAGGAGTTAGGAAGTCTTCACCATGCTAAACAAAGACAAAGCAACTGAAAAACAAAGCACTCCATAAAGCCATCCTCACCAGGTTGGAATGGAGCAGGCACACACACTAACCCAAGGAACCCATGAGCCACCCAGGATGATTGAAGACCTGCTACACAGAAATTGCTTGAATCACAGAGGCTTAGATTGGAGAGACCAAACTATTAAAACTTGCACAATTGCATGCTCTTGGGGGCTTTCTCTTTAGAAGTCTTATAGGACTCACATAAAGAACAAGCTCATGATGCTGGCTGGGGAAGAAAACCTGGACATTTAAAAACTTATCCAAAGCATTCTATTTTTTAACAAGGCCTGTCCTCAGGAGAAGCTTCACAGAGACAGAGTCTGCCTTGTTGGGCTTTATTGAAGTCTGTGGCAGGGGTGGGTGGACCTGGAAAGGGAATCCTCTATGGTCATCTTACCTCACCTTTGGGGAGACAAAATCTGAGAAGCATAGGTCAGGGGTACAGGCTCCCCAAGACACACAGAGCACTGTAAAAAATGGCCTCTCCCTAGCCACTACTACACCACAGGAGATTGTTATTGTGATTCTTTTCCCCTGGTAATCAGGGGGTGACATTTTATTTTCACTCAACTTTGGCCCAATCTAAGTTCAAGATAAGCATTCATACTCATTTGTTTCTGTAGGAGTATTTGTCAAGGCCACCTATTACATTTGCTTGATGCTGTCACAAATTACCATAAGTTTAGTGACCTGCTGCAGCACTTTCCCTGGTGTGGTGGTAGTACTTGCCTATAATTCTGGTACTTGGGAGGTGGAAGCAAGAGGGTCAGAAACTCAAAGACATACTCAGCCTCACAGTGAACTCAGTGAATTTGAAGCCAGCCAGAGCTTCATTTTCCCTTGCCAGAAGGGGTGGGGAGAAAAATCTCATAGTTTTATACACTAACAGGTATGGGAGGCTCCTGGCTCCTGGTCGTAGGCTATGCCCAGGCCATCCTCACTGTTTGTTTGTTTGTTTGTTTGTTTGTTTTTTCCTCAGAACTTTTTGCTTATTTTCTTAGAAGCTCAGCCATTCGGTCACAGGGTTTTAAATTTCACCCACATTTCAGGGCTTTTGGACCAGGAGTGCAACTTAAACATCTTGCTATTCCTGAATCCATTGCTGCAGTTGGGATATTGAATGCCCATACTTAAAGGGCTTAGTCCCTCATGTGGCGCTACTACTGGGAAATGGAGCCCAGGGGGAGGGGAGATGTCCTCTTGAGTGGTGTTTGGGGATCTCAGTCCCTTCTTCTCTTTCCCCTCTTGGTAATGAATTGTCCAATTGTGTTTCACTACACACTCCCCCTATTTGATGCTGCCTCGCCATAGGCCCAGAGTGAAGGGGCCAATCAGCCATGGTTTGGAACTCTGAAATGTGAACCCAAAATCAGTCTTCTCTCTGCAAGCATATTGCCTCAGGTACTTGTAGTGTGGACTGGAAACCAACTAAAAGAGCCAAGCCTCCATTACATTCTCCCCTAAACATGCTCCCTACCCACCGTCTTCTTTAAGCCTTCAAAACAGCTTCCCAGGCCTGCCAGCTGCAGTGTGAAGGCACTGGCAGTGTCGAGAGGAGTCCTACCTGAAACTTAGGTGGCCCAGTGATGTAAGCTCTACTTAACATTTCTGAACACCCCACCTTAGGGCTCTCCCTCCCCTTGCCCAGGTTTTCGCAGCTTTGATTCTACATTGTATGGTATAAACAGCCCATACCTTTCCCTGTTAAAGTCCTGGTCACCCTCAGTATAATACATGGGCCACTTTGACTCACAGCTTGGGGAGTCACTTGCAACTTCATGACTGATTTGGGGTATTTGATTCCCTACTGTCATTGTGACACTGGCCACACACTACATCACATTCCCCTTTGGAAATGAGGCTCTAAACATTCAGCTTCTTCATGTTTGATTCACTGTTGTACCTCAGTCCCTGAAGCATGTGCTAGAATAGGAGTTCAAATGTGTTGTGAGTAACCTGGTAGCCAATAGGCGTTGTACATTGCTAGGAAATGATGAATGGATGAAGGGCAGGCTTCCCTTTCCTCTCCCTCCTTTTCCCCCTAGGAGCCCAAGAAGCAGCAGCGTCTCTACACCATATCTTATATAAACCATTTATTCAGGAGGAACAATTAAAGAAGGTGATTATGATGTGAATTCCAAAAACAAATAAGCACAATCCTTTCCAGGTTCAAAGACAAGATGGCCCTGCTGCCACAGGTACTGCCAGTCCCAGGCTGAGTGTGTGGGTGTGCTAGTGCGCATGTGTGAACACACCCACACATACTGTCTACAAAGGGGTGTGCACTGCAATGAATGACCATGCGTGTGTCTGCAGCTTGGCCCCTTCCCTGCCCCCCCAACCAACAGTGGCTGTGTGAGACACACAGCAGCAAAATTGAGGCCTCCATCCTTCTCTCCTTCTCCCTCAGCTCTCACTCTGAGACCCCATCTCCTCCGGTGGCAGTTGGACCACCCTCAGTCACAAAGAGTCTCAGTGATCCTGTCAAGACATCTGGGGGAGGAGGATAGAAACAGTCAGGGCACCAGATGTGTGGCTAGGATTCTGCCCATTAGCTCCCAGGTCCATGCCTTCCCATGTGACACTACCCAGCAAAAAGCAACCCCAAGAGGCTGTCCCTTGTGGATGCCAAGAGCAGCCATTGTGTTTCTGGGTCCACATCTCAAAGCTCCATGAAGTTTAAGCCCTAGTCAGAACAGCAGGAAGGAGATTACACCAGTGAGAATAGTGAGGCCTTTTCCCACAGGTGGACATTTGGGGACAGGGAAGGAACTGAGAGCAGGTCCCTATGGCAAAGTGTGACATGCTCTTCCTGAAGAGGAAACAGCAAGAAGGGCCAGGGTCCAGGCAGCAGACAGTAATCTGCAATGGTCTCTTGGATAAGAAGCCCCACTCTCACCCTGAAAGAATTGAGTAACAGTCGAAGAAGAGACAGGTTTTGGAGCGTGATCCACCCTAAAGCAGTGCGGGTCAGGCCCATAGCCATGGGCCCACCCATAGGCACGTGTAATAGAATCTGGGGCTGGCCCCGAGTGGCTAGGGCAGGTTTCTGCTCTATTCCTGCCTGGCTCCACCACCCCCTCATGAGGTATTGAGCTTTCCCTTCCCCCCTCCCCCTGCTTATGGTTGCATCCCATCCCTGCTAATACAAGGGGTCACAGGTAGGGACCAGCCCAGCAGCCTCATAGGGCTTTATGTGAGGTCGAGCTCAAAGACCCCATCACTGGTGCTGGTAGGGGTAGTAAAGTAAGAAAGTGGGTCTGAGACAGTGGACTCTGTTCCCCCACTGCCCTGCTCCTCAGAACGATTCTCTTCTAGGTGCAGACTTCTCTCAAAGTCTAGCAGCTGCCTCATGAAGTTGAAGTTGGGTGAGATGTTAGACTTCTTCCGCTTGACCAAGTCGTAGGCATCATTAAGTGAGATGTGAAGCTTCTGCATGAGGTAGGCCACGGTGACGGTGACAGAGCGGCTGACCCCCGCCAGGCAGTGGACGAGCACTCCACAGTTCTGAGACAAGGCCTCATCTAGGTAAAGCAGGACAGACCCCCCCACCAAGGGTCAGCATGAGTGAGGCCAAAGCTAAGTGAATTTCTGGGGGCATCATTGCAGTCTCCCCACTCTTCCTAGACCATATTTGGGAGGTTTCACTGGCAGTTGACCTGCACCTCCCTAAGTGTCATGAGGGCTCTGCTAAGCTGGGCAGGAAGGCAAGAATTCCCTTAGAGGAGAGGGTAAGTAACAGAAGACTGACAGGGAGTCAGTCTGGTGGGTGGAGACAGGGGGAGAGACAGGTGGGTGGGGACAGGTGGGGGGTGGACTAGGGAGGACTCACCAATAAATTCAATGGCCTCCGGAAAGAACTGGGACAGATTCTGGCTCCAGTGATCAGAGATGGGGATCTGCTTGTAGTGGAAGTCACCATTCTTCTCAAAGAGGTTAGGGAGATTAGGGGTGACATTGAGGATATAGCAGATGTTAAGCTTGCCCAGGCAGTCCAAGTTAGCTGAATCTTGGGCACTGCCTAGGTAGAGATTGGGTAGGATCTGGACTGGGACAGGTGGTAGCTGCCCAGATGGAGGGGATGTGGTGCCACAGCTCACAGATTCGCGGTCAGCCTCAGATTCGGCATCAGAGAAATCAGAGCTCAAGCACAGGCCGCCCAGCCCCACCACAGGCACTGGGTTAGGCCCTCTGGCCACACTTGGACCAGCTAGACCACTGAAGCCGGTTTCACACAGGTGAGGACACTCGGCCTGGAATTTGCTGAAGCCACCTGTCAGGAGAGAAGGGGGATATTTTGCTAATACAGCCTTCTGGGCAGCCAGGTATCCCTGGCTGGGGCTATGGAGCTGACTCTACACAGTCCAGGAGGAAGGGGGTGTTGCAGATATTGCCAAAGGGAACACAAAACCCAGCAGATTCATCTATACTGGAGCTCTACAGGTGGTGTGCTGTCCTGTGGACATGTTTCCACCCTCACTCAGCACTTGTGGCTATTCTCTGGATGGTTAAGTGCCCAATGTAGTCGCTTGCCCTAGGCAGCATCCTGTGAACCAGGTTGCTTCGTGTCAATTCTCCCTATATTCCAGACTTATAAAAGAGCTTGGAAGGATGATCGACTTGTCCAAGGTCATGCTCAGGTCTGCCTTTCCAAAAGCTGTCTGGCAGGTTATTGGGAGGGAGAATCTTAGCTACATTTTAGACAAAGTAAGATGGAGTTTGCCAAAAGATAAAGTAATTATGAAATTCTCCTGGGAAGGCAGGACCTATTCTCCTGTCCTGAGGCCACTCCAGGTCTGTACCCTCTCTCAGCCCACTGGCCCTCACTTACCCTGTAGATAGTAGGCCAGGTAGCCTTCTTCCCGTAGCTTCTGGAGCATGATGCCCAGCACCGAGTCAGCATCCCATTCTTCGGTCCCGGCTTCGGTCCCGGCTTCGGCCCCGACCTCAGCTCCGGCCCCGACCTCAGCTCTGGCCCCGACCTCAGCTCCCGCCCCGACCTCGGCCTCAACTCGGGCCTCGGCCCCAGCACAAACATCGGCCCCGGCATCTCCACGCAGGCACAGGCCACTACCCTGGTCGTACAGGAGCACAGGAGCAGGGGGAGGAGGCTGCAGCGGTGGCCCAGGCAAGAGCGACCGCACCGACAGACTCCCTCTCCGCAGGCGGCGCAGCATCAGCGAGGGCAGGGACACGTTCAGCGCCCCGCGGACGCGCGCCGATTCATACAGCTCCTGGCTGCGGCAGTCCAGCAGCAGAATCTGCGGGCGCGGGGACGACAGCTCCTGGCGCAGCCACAGGCTTGATCGCCCTAGTCTTTCCATGGTCGCGCAGCGATCGGCACTTCTGCACGTCGGACAGCAAGTGCTGTAGAGAGGCAAGACGCGGAGTGAGTGCAAGTTTGTCTCTACTCCTGCAGCGTGGACCAGGCTAATGAGATGGGAAATCAGTCCCTGTCCTGAGGGCAGGCGTCCAGTGTCCCCTCAGGGACATTCCTCTACCTCCTGCTTCTCTCCTCGCCTTCCACCCACAGTGAGAACACCAAGGAAGGTGCCCCAGGAAAAAGACCCTAGGTTGCTGCCGCTAGGGCTCTGCTCTCTGCCCCGCTTAAATGGAGTTTGTGTGAACCCCAGAAGATAGCTGGGTGGGTTAGTCTAGCTGCCTCCTGAATGAAGGCTTTTTCTGAGGTGCTAGGAGGACTAAGACCAGTTCCCTCCACACCCCCTTTCTGACTTTCTCACTTGCTCTGGTTTCCATCACTCCCCAACTTCGCCTTTAGATGTGTGGAGAAGTTGGGTTCAAGGCCTGGATCTCTTCTATGGCCAGGAAGACCAAGAGAACGGGGTCACCGAGGTGATGGGCCTCGGTGAGTCCTGTAGGAGCTGACTCAGCCCCATCCCTCCCTACCCCAGGAGAGAACAAAAGGAGAGAGACCTGAAGCGAGATCCAGAGGCAGGCGGCTGCGCGTGGACGTCCTGGCCACAGCTAGTGCCTCTGCAGGAGGCAGGTATCGTCCCTGGAGAGAGAGTCCTCAGGCTCAGAGCTCGGAGAGGGCGGGGTGGCAGAGCAGGCTCGCACGTGGAAGCCTCGCCTCGCGCCACTCGTGTGCTGGCAACTTCCCGGCAGCCGGATCCAGCTTCTACCTTGGAAGCCTCTGCCTTCGGACCGACTAAGTAGCAGCTCAGAGGGGCGGGGCGGGGCGGGGCGGAGGGGCTGTGGGGCGGGCTCAGGGGGCAGGAGAGCCAACTGGTGCGAGAGAACAGCCGGGTGGGAGTTGCAAGCCGCGGGCTGAGCTAGGGCTTCCACCCAGGCGGGACAGGGTCGGGGCAGAGGCCAAGGGCAGGTCGGGGGCCCAGCAGGCGACATGTTGCAGTTGCCCCTGCTCGGCGCCAGTCTGGTCCCTGGAGGCAGGAAGAGGGGTGGGGACAACAGCCCAGAGCCCCAGAACCAGAAACTGCCTCAAACCACTCACTTAATAATCCTGCGCTATCAGCCCTTGTCTGGAAGTAGATGCCCCCATCTGTATAATGGGCTAATCAGAGCTGTCTAATTTGTGCTACTGTGAGATGCCACTGAAAAACTAAAGGCACAAGGCAGCTCCTGGGGGCCCTATTCCCATGTGGGCTTCATTTGTACCGGCCTGGCTAAAGGTACTCAGGAATTCTGGGCACCCGACTCTAAACTAGGCAGGGGATACTGTGCTCTTATGACATGATGAATCCTAAGAGTCAATTCTGGTGCTTCCCCATAGCCTCCTTCCCATAACACCCTGGATGGATCCACGCGGAGGGAAGTCGCTTTACTGCAAAATGCTCCTTCTGTCTTTTGCACTGACCGTGGCTGCTGAAGTCATCTCAGTTTCTGAAACTTCAGCTTGTCCTCCACCCTGTCCCATTCCAGAGTACCATTCACCCCCCAAGGGCTGGTGGACTCCCACTAGCCCACCAGGCAGGTGATGAACAGGAGAGACACACAAGGACTCTCCTTGCCTGGGTCCTCCAGTCTAGGAGGACACACAAACAACATGCAAAGACACTGGATAAGGTAATGGGGTGATAAGTGCTGACAATGAAAGGAGAGACAGCGTGGCTTCTGAAAAAGCCCCATCTGGCCATATGTCCTTTCTCTGCTAAAAGCCCAAGAAAAGCAAATAACAGTGTTAAAGGAAAACACACAACAGATAAGATAAAGCTCGCACAAAATAATCAAAGGGTTAAGACCCCACAGATAAATGAGTAAGGAACTCAAGGACTGCGTACTCTGCCTGAAGGAAGGAATGTGATGGGGTAAGAATATTTGGGGAAAGGTTGAAGCTCAGGCAGAGAAGGAAAGCCGATTCAAAAAAACAAGGAAATACTTCCCAGTCACTACATTAGTAGAATGTTCTCAAAATGAGAACACCCAGTGTTGGTAAGGCTCAGTGAAACAGGCATGCTGTTCTCATCCTAGAAGGGATTTTGTTTTGGTAGTTTGGAAATGAATGTAGAACCAGATGAGAAAGCTGGATGGGTGTGGTGGCTTTGGAAATGCAGAGGTGCTCCCGTCTCTGTGGGTTTGAGACCAGCCTGGACTACAGAGCTAGTTCTAGGACAGCCAGGGTTACACAGAGAAACCCTATCACAAAAGAAAAACGAAACAAAACAAAACAAAACAACAGCAACAACAAACCCCCAAACAACAAAAAGAACCAGACAAGAAAACCCCACACTTGTGGGCTACTTCTGGGCTCCAACTTAGGGAACCAGACAAGAAGGCAGACCGGTGTGTACAGAATGGGTACTGCAAAGCATTTTTCTGAGGAGTGAAAAATGCAAACCTCCTGAAAGAGCAACATTTAGCACCACTGCATACCATCTATGCCTGTTGAAAAGACTCCTCTCATGAGCCAGAATTGAGATGAGATGCTGTGTGAAGAAGCCAGCCACACGGACTCAGACTATCTCAAAGGGCCCTCTAGCTTTTCCCTTTTCTCCACCGCTCTAGTGGACCACCAGGCTCAAACAACTGAGACCCATCTTACCATGTCCTTCCTTCTAGGATGAGTTTCTAGACTGTTGATATTCAAGGGTTATGGGCAAATGGGGCTCTATGGACACAGTCCGACCCAGGTCCCCTCTGCTGGCTGCTCATACCCCAGCTCCTATGTTCTGTTGGTCTCATAGGCAAGCCTGTAGGCTTCCTTCTGTCTCAAAAAGGTGATGCTGTGGCACTGCTCATTTCTTTCTTTCTTCCTCAACTTTCTCCTTTCTCCTTCCTTACATACTAGTTCCACAGTGTTCCACTTCTGAGTGGATGCCTGGTGCTGCCTAGCCATGAATGTCCAGACTGGGTCCTTCAGAGGTTGAAGACAACACAGAAGTTCTGCAACATTTATGAATAGGGCTGGCTGGGACTTTTTTAGGTATGGATGGGGTAGTGGTGACATGAGGCCACCATACAGTTGGAGAGACAGTATCCCACCCTCCCAGTCCTGGAGGCTGTTTGCTTAGAAGGAGGCTCTCCAACCAAAGGGAAATATTGGTACTCTCATTAGTCTAGATGTGCTCTCTGGAGTAGGCTTTCTGGAGGAAGTGATAGGAATTGCTCTGGGGAAGGAGGCACCCTGCAATGGTGAAGGAAAGGGAAGCCTAGGTGTCAACAATCAGCCCCACTCCTGCCCATATCTGAAGAGTACTTCCCCAACAACTAGTTCTAAACCCGTGCTGGCAAGGTCCCAATCCTAGCTTAGGATAGGGAGAGGATGAGGGATAGTCAGTCTCCCAAGTCAGTGCACAGTGCCTGATGCCCGAAGCCTGCTGCGCTGCAGTGCCAGCAGACAGGACAAATGGGAACCTGTTGCCACCCCCGCACTGCAGGTTTCGGTGCAGCCAAGCCCCCACCCTCGCCTGCTCCCACTCAGGCCCCCTGACAGCGTCTGCTCATGCGCTGGCCCCTCCCCTCGCCTGCATTCTCAGGGCGACCAAGGTTTGGGGAATCCTCCACATGTGGGGGCCTCTCCAGGCCCCCTTTGGGAGGTGGAGTCAGGCGGTGCGCTTGCGACTCGCTGCAGAGTAGACTCTGAGCTCACGGCCGCCCTTGCTGGGAGCCTCAGGACCTCGGACTGGCCTGGCCAACGCCCCCCCACAGGTCCGGTGCGTGCCGCGGGCGCTTTCAGGTCTCCAGAGACGCTGGAGAGGCACACTGACAACCCCTCTTCTCCTAGACCAATGCATGATTCCCGCCCCGCCCCGTGGCGGAATTTCAGCTGTCGCGACTAGGTCACATGGCTAGGAGCGCAACTCCTAGAGACAGCTTTTCTATCAAATCCAATGTCTTTTCCACAAAACCCACTTTCCACTGGAAATGGCGTTATGCTTTTCCTGGTCGAGCTCCTCAAGGGACTGGGAGTTCCTCCAAGGCAGGAATGGGCGTATGCCCAGTCCCAAGCTGGCCCCAGCCCCCCAGTGAGGGCCTGGTACACAGGCTGGGTGCTTCCAGAAGAAATGTTCATTAACAAAGACGGCATGAATGAATGAAATCAGTTGTTGCCTGGGGTAGCCCAAGAGGATGCTGCTGCTCCTGCTTTTTCCTTCTAGTGAGCACATACTCCTCACAGACACGTACTAGCACACGTGTGCACACAAAGCACTCCTCATAGCATACACGCAGGGACACAAACAGTGCGTGTTGACTCCAGCCCTTAGGGAAGCAACTCACTATGAGCAGGATCCCTTTGGTCTCATCTGGGACTCCTCCATTTTAGTGCCTGCCTCTGTTCTTCCATCCCAGCGGCTCTTTGCCTCCACACCTAAGTACTATACCTTGGGCCCCAAGTGCCTTCTTCATTTGATAGGGAAGAAGAGGTCAAGTCAGTTCCTGGGGAATCTCAAGGTTTTATTGGGTGGCACCTGGAGAGGTGTCCCAAGCTAGTAAGCCACTGCCTATAGTGGTGAGTGGTAGGTATGTACAATATAGGTACCTGTGTGCTGGCAACTGCGAAGCTGGTGGAAATGGCAGGGGACAAGGAAAGCTCATGGGCAGGGTGGCAGGGATGTGTAGTGATAGGACCTAATGGGTCCTGTAGACTTTTGTTCTCTGGCATGCCTTTGGGATGTATTTGGTAGGACTATGGGGGCCCATGGTGGAAGAACACTCTTGGGATAGGCACCCAGGAGGAATGGGGGTGGGGTTAGGGCCAGGGCTCCTCTGCTTACCTCTGCTAGCCTCAGCTTGGTCCCTGGCTCTGTGCTTCGCAGCCAGGAAGTCTCTGTAGCTCAGGCAGTGGAGAGGCAGAGCTGCCACTGGTAAAGAACACCAGAGCTCCGGAGGGGCCTTGCCTGGAGCT